AAGGGAACAATAGTAGCGACCGGGATGGCACATTGGGACTGCTGATATGGCAGGGGACGTTGCCTTTACAGAAAGGCAACAAAGAATGTTGCCCTCCGAAGGCGAGAAGTTGTTCACCCACATTTAGGGTGCCAAACATGCCTTTTCGTTTTACAGTGTATTTTCTCCCAGTCATCATCAGTAGGGTCAACAGTTTTTTTTTTAATTATCCCTACTTTTAGTTGATCTACTCGCAGGGCTTTTTTTATCCTTTAGTCTGTTTAGCATCAAGTAGGGTAGGGGCGGTTAGAGTTGGATTAGCCAACGCTAATAGTGGAGCGCCTCCTAGTGGCCCTACCTGGAGGGGGGAAAGGTCAGATAATTCTTCGCATGCTATTTGCTTATCTGCCTGTGTACTGTGCCTCCTCTACTAAGCTTTCCGAACGCGACTGTCGTCTGCCTTTGCCTTATTTGTGCTGCATTTTCCTTAATATCTGCTTCTCTTCGCTTTTTTTTTTTTTTTTTGGCATCGTGGCTCTACCTAATATTTTACGCTCCACAGGTACAGGTCTCACCATCAGCCGACAGGTAACGAATAACTACAGCACGTATGCTTGTGATTACTCACTTATTTCACCACTCCACATCCTCCGTTACAGCCTTCCACTAGTCGTGGAGTGCCTGTAGCTCTCTCCCTTCAGCCTCTCGTCATCATTTTGCATTTGAACCCTGGCCTCCTAATCCTCCCCCTCTTCTCGCTCCAGTCCCTTCTCCATTCGCAGCTTCCAGCCAGGTGCGCTGGACCTCCAGATTGGGGTAGTGGTCCTCCAACTCCATCGCCTGGTGGACAGCATGAAGGAAGCCGGCCTCGCCGTCACTCTGCCCCGCCGAGCCGCTGAGGGCGTACTCGCCGCCAAACATCACCAGCGGCTCCCCGACGGGCCCGGGGAACGAGGTCACCGATGACAACCAAGGCGCTGACCCGGGAGACGAACTCTCCGACCCTCCGGAAAGCACAATGATGCTTGGCGGTCCTTCTCCCCATCCTCAGGGCTAGACCCCTCCCCCCGTCTGTCCTTGACAGGATTTACGCCCCCTCCATCGCCCCGGCCCTCCCCTATGACCTGTCAGCTGTTTCTGCCACCAAGAGGACACGGTGGACTCTCCGTAGGGTGGACGCCATCATGCGAGCAGCGGTCCAAGCCACGGGCCGCCTGCCACATAGGCCACTAGTGCTGCCAGCGGCGGTCCCCCGCACCATCAACAGGCTCCTCCGCACGGCCAGGGTGAGGTACTTGGGCCACATCATGAGGCGTCCAGCCGGCCATCCCCTCAGACGGGCCTACACGTTCGATCTGTACCGCCGCAAGGTGGGCCGGCCTTGCTACAGTTTCCAGGAGACGGTGAACCAGGACATTGCTCGGCTATGGTCCACTCTCTCCAGGTGGTTGGCCTGAACTCAGGAACAGAAACCACTCCTCGGCC